TACAGATAGGATAGATCCGAGATTGATGAGGGAAGCAATTATGAAAGTTGCAAAAACAATCTTTAAATCCTCCTTGGGTATGGAAGAGCAGCCTGGAATAGGAGAATTGCAAATATTACAAGCATGTTTTCAAAAGGGCAGAAACAGACCAGACATTTATAACTTAGTCAGCCTAATGATCAAGAAATATAAATTGCAAAGAAAAAATGAAAAGGCACTTGTAAAAGTTCAGGGTGATAAAAAGTGCCAAAATTTGCCAAATACAGATTATTTTAACAAACACAGTCAGTTCGTGTAGCTGAGGGGGTAATGAGGGTTGTGTGGCTGATGTTGCACACGAGAACCTTCAAAAAGGCATTTGCTAAGAATCACTTTAAATAGACATCATTAAAATCATACAGGGAGTTGTATGATCTGGAATGAATTGCTTGAAAGGGTGATGGAAGCAGATTTTAAAATCATTCCCTTAAAGGTACAATGCAAATTTCTTGAAAAAGGAGTTTGTGTGGGGAGAAAAAAAAAAAAAAGAGAGAAATTGATTAGGTAGTGGAGTCAGTACAGGTCAAGTGGTGTTCAAATGGCCTCCTCCTATCTTGCTTTCATTCCATAATTTCATAGAATTTGACAATTGTGCTTATGTATGCACAATTAATTACTTATCTCTCATTTGTGTTGCAGAGCAAGTTATTTTTACAATTACTTCAAGAATTCTTCTGAAATAATCAGCCCTTTTTTCAAATAATTTTGCAAAGATAGTTGAAGGATTGTGTCAATATTAAAGCAGACATTCCCCTTTAACTTATGCTCCCAGTAACATGGTTCCATTTCCCATCAACTGAATTCTTTCTTTCTCAACAGGGGCAACAACCAGCCCTACTACCAGTATTAGTGTGGAGTCATCCAACAGATATAAATTAATTGTACTTCACAAACAAAATGCTTTGCTAATTATTTTCAGCACAGACAGACACTTCAGGCCAAGAGGCAGGGTTACAGTTCAAATGACAGTAATTGTGGAAGGGTTTACACATCTAACGGTTTCATCTTTGTGATGGAAAGAGGATGGAAACAGAAAATATAAGCAGGTGGTGTAGTGGTAATGTGACTGGACTCAATCCAGAACTGCCAGTAATGATCTGAGCATATGGGTTTGAATCCTGCCACATAAAATGGTCAGAGATAACAAGGTGCAGAGCTGGATGAACACAGCAGGCCAAGCAGTATCAGAGGAGCAGGAAAGCTGACGTTTCAGGCCTAGACTCAGGCCTTCAGGTCAAAAGACCCTTTTTCTGAAGAAGGGTCTAGGCCCGAAACGTCAGCTTTCCTGGTCCTCTGATGCTGCTTGGCCTGCTATGTTCATCCAGCTCTGCACCTTGTTATCTCAGATTCTCCTGCACCTGCAGTTCCTACTATCTCTGAAACATAAAATGGTCAAATTTGAAAAAAGACTCCAGGTGGAGTGACGTCCCTATCTCTGAGGCAAGAGGTCCAGAGTCACATGGCACCCCTACTTCAGAGGTGTGCCATAGCATATCTGAAGAAGTTGATTAAAACAAAATCTAAAGAATGATACATGGGGGAAGTGACACAGTAAATTTCATAAAATAGTATTTGCACTACTGGACAAAGCTTCATGCTACACCACTAGCATAATGTTGCCAGTGTGAAAGCATCACAAGTATGAGAGCCATTATCCTAGAGGTGGCACAGTTGGTAGCTTTCCTCAGCTCTGAATCAGAAGGTTCTTCAATCCTATTCTTGGGCTCAAATAGAAAACTGAAGATGATCCTCCACTGCAGTACTGAGGGAGTGCTGCACAGTTGCAGGTTAAGGTGAGAAATAGCCTTGGCTTAATGTCTGTCAATTAAAATGCCCCATGGCATGATTTAAGAACGGAGGCATTATCCCCCAATGTCGTGGCCAATATTTCTCTTGATCAGCACCATAGATTATCTAGCAAATATCACTTGCAGTTTGTAGACTGAAAAAGCCAGAATAACTACAGATGCTGAAATCTAAAACAAAAACAAACTGCTGGAAAACCTCAGGTCTGGCAACATCTGTGGAGAGAAATCACAGTTAACGTTTAAGGTCCAGTGACCCTTCTTCAAAACAGTTCCTGTGACTTTAGGCTGTCCCTAGGACATGAAAGACACTACTGAAGGGAAAACGCTTTCTTCTAGATAGCCAGAAAGCTTTGAAAATCTAGAATTTGCAATTTTGAAGGTGAATCTTTTAGATTTAAATACTCACAGATCCTTCATTCTAAAATAGAAAATAGAAGAATAAACTGTCAGTGCAAGAATCAATACAGGCATTCTGTAGTCTCTCAACTTACTTTGTTCCACTTCCTTGACAGACTATGCCTTAAAATGGAAGTAATGTGGTCTTGAGACATTTGTGGGTTAACTTAATACATGGTGCAAAAAGCATGCTGGTATTTGTAAACAACAAAATGAGATCCAGTCTGACTGCCCATATAGAGGCAGAAATATCGCATCATTCAAAAGGAAACAACAGCTCTCCTACTATTCTGTCTAATATTCAATATCCATTCACCAAAGGTTTACCTGCTCTTGGCTCAAGAGATTATTCTGGGGGCTCTTGTGGTGCAATAGTAATAGTGTGCCTATTAAGCCAGTTTGCCTGGCTTCAAGTCCCATCTACTCCAGGGATGGATATTAATATCCTCCCTGTAAACAGGTTGCTTACAAAATTATCCACAAGAAACTACTTTATATAATAAGCTATTGGCAATACCAACTTCACTTTTACAAGTCAAATACACCTTTGTAAATATAAGTACCTACTTTCAAACATGACTATTAATGAATAATTTGACTAGTTGAAGAGATCAAGTAGTGGTGCTATTTAATATATCACCAAAATTGTTAAAATGAACAACAGGTTTACATCTATTCCAATAAACCATATGGCAGAATAAATTAGAAATGTGTGTGTCGCAAAACATATTCTACCCCACAAAACTTAAGTATTTAAATATTCTCCATTGAAGCTTCTTTGAGTTTGCACCAACTACATGAGAACGTACCACAAACAATGAGTCCATAGGAAGTAGTCTCAACTGCCTGTAACTAGATTTCAAAGTAGGGACAGGTCATGAAGCTGCCTTTGTATTCTTCTACCAAGAACCAGGTTTATTTTCTTGAATGCAAAGCTATAGAATCTTAAAATATTTGTTCTATACCAAAATATTTAAGTACTAGTAGACTGTAATACAAATGCTAAAATCTACAGCTCATCTTAATCAGAAAAATAAAACTTAAATGCATAAAATATTCATTTACTTGCAGATTTTACTATAAATTTTAGACAAGCCACAAATACTCAAATCATTTATCTATTTTATCCAAACTATTCAAGATTTTTTAAAATAGCATTTGCATTATCTTGCTACTCATTACAGCAGTTCTGCAGGGTATTCAGCAAATCAAATCTGATTTAATACTTTGAATTATTAAATCTGAAAAGGAGTCACCTTGAGTATGTGCTAACAAAATGGATGATAACCATAATACTCAACATCTCCAAGCAAGAAAGCACAAGTTTAAACCAGTGACAAATTATGAAGAAAATTTAAATAAATTACAGTAGCATTATGAAGCATCACATTTCCATGACATCCCAAGATAATTACTTACTTTTGAAATGAAGTCAAAGTCATTAGGTAGGCAAACACAGCCACCAAATTGGGATATGACAATTTTGGTAAAGTGACATTCATCACCCATTACTTAGGAAAATTGTGGCAGTATGCTGCTGTGAATTTTTGCAATCATTGTGCGGATGATGTTTCTACAATGGTACTAGCCCATGAGTTAAAAAGATTTCGATTCAGTTATGAATTTAGTTACAACACATCCAAATTAGAATGGTATATAACTTGGAGGTGATGCTATAATCTTGCAACTCAGCCTTATTAGAAGTCACAACACAGAGGGGCTGTCAAAGTAAGCTAATTTGCTGCACTACATCTATACTAACATAGGCACCTTATGCAAAGGGTAGCTTGCAGCTCCAATGGCAAGTAAAGCAGCACCGCTCTTATTAAAATGGTGTTGAACTGCTTGAAATGTTGTTGCTACTACATCCAAATTGTTGATGTGTGTTTCATTATTCTACTAACACTTGCTAGTAAAATAGGCCAGTGGCTCCAAAAGAATCAAGAGGCAGATCACATGATACAAAGCCTCTGTGGTCTCATAGCCAAGCTGTCATCACAGTTACTTCATTAAAAAATTTTGGTCAATGGTAACTTCTGGCAGGCTTATGGAGAATGTGGTAATAATGGTGTCATTGTAAGTAAGGTAGAATGTTTTTCCACTTTCTTTTATTGAAAAGGCATCACTTGACAAGTGTTATCTGCCTCCTGTCAATGCATGTGCAGAGGTTGTTCAACTACCGTTACAGGCTGACATGTGAAGCTAATCTGATTTTCATCAGTCAAAGCAGAAATATTGTAGGGTACACAGCGGTCTTCAAATTAAACCATGGGATCTAGAACTTGTTCATGAACCTCTGTCTAACGTTTCTTCTAACATGGAACCACAATATCTCAGTATATTAAAAACTTAGTCTACCAGTTTAGTCAAGTTTTAAAAAAAAGTTACTATTTCAAAATAGTGTGCCTCTAAGAAAGCTCTGGCTTAACATATTGAGTGAGAAGGAACCGAAAAAAAAATCACATGACATCTTCATGTCCTTTTGAGTCAACGTATCTTCAATCGAATGTAAGAAACGTTAACTGAGTACATTCCCAAAAATAAATTAACCCTCAACAAACGATTGCAAATAGTGTACTAGAGCTTTATTTTTAATATAAAAGCCTTCCCTTGATTCATCGAATGCCATAATTAAAACCGGCGTTTAAAACCTCCTGTTTGAGGACAACTAATTTAAATCAAAGGATGATCAAATCAAAAGACGTCGCAACATACAATGAGGATTTCATCAGACAGATGGACCAACGTAAGTCTTACCAGTTATCAGGACTGCGCTGATGAGGAACAGCTGGGCGAGAACAGCATTACCACTCAAACCCCTAACTCCAGGCGCCATTTTGCCGCCGCACTGCTTTCTGGATGAAGTAGGCAAAAGGTAGGTGGTGGGGGGGAAGAGCCTGGCCTACACCTTCCCGGACACATGATTTAGGGCACGTGATCAACTTCGATTGACAGAAAATGGACTAATAGGAGGCTACGTAGGCCGTGCCCCGCGTTACCCGCTTCATCTGATTGACACCAGAAGTACCAATCAGCCGTGGGATCCTAAAGAGCGAGCCACCAGTCAGTAGGGCGCTCGTTCTTCTCCTCCCACCTACATCTCTAATCAAGTTGGTTGGGAAAGTGTTGATATCAAAGGTGGCGAGCAAGCGGTGTAATAATTTATTCACTATGGAATGTATAAATAAATAAATGTATATGCTCCAGCGCGGAATACACTAAAACAAGTAGTATAGAAGAGAATCCCCAAGCCGCCCACTCTGAGATATTTCACTAATTTCTTTCACTCATTCAAGAGCTTTTGGTGCTGACTGATACTCAGGCTCGCCTGGTTCAATCCAGCGAAACTCCCCGGACCGAGACGAACCTGAACCGAACGGCGGCCGAGCCTGAGTCGAGCCGAACGGTGGCCGAGCCCGAGCCCGAGCCCGAGCGGAGGAACCAACAGGGACAGCCCAGCCGACAAGCTGGCAGGCAACAGCAGCAGTCGCACAACTCGACTCTCGAGATTTTAACCTGCTCGTTTTCGCTGCGTGGCTTTTATTGCCTGTGCTTTTTGTGTCTTTTTTTTCCACGTAGGACACAACTTTAAAAAGTAAAAAAAGGGGAGAGACAGGATTGGAAAATCGATTTAGCAGGACCCCGTGGCGAAGCGAGGGCAAAGGTGGAATCTTCAGTGACCCGGACCCCAACCAGGACTGCATGAGAGAAAGTGGTGACATAAGGGAGGTAAAGGCACGAAACCCTCGGCGCATTTCAGAAGGGCAAGACTGGAGTAAATTATTTAATGTTTTAAATATCAAGAAACTACTGTATTAAAAATAACTGACAACAGGGAAGCTGGAACCTGTTTTCTTTCCTCTCACTACAGCGTCAGTCGGAAAAGAAGATTTGCTTTGAACCTCCCGTGTGTTTAGGTGGAAATCAAAAGGAAGCAGTTGAAGTTGTTAGGAGATTTGTTTGGAGGAACAGCGTCTCTTCACCAGTGCTTGGCATGAAATAACGCTGCAAGCCATCTCATCCGACCTCGTTTTTATCTCTCCAGAGTAGTGAAAGCCGCGGAGCAGCCTCCTCCTCCTCAGCCTCCTCCTCTTCCTCATCATGCTGCTGCCGCCTCTGCCGTGAGGGCTCGATCAGCTTTTTCGATACGTTTTCCCCGTGGGATTTTCTATCCTTTTTAAGTTTTTAAAGAGAATGAAACAAAAAGGCCTTCCGATCGCGTGAGGACAGCTGGTGAACGTTGATTAGAGACTATTCTGTAAAGACACATGGCGAAAACCAAAGAGAAACGCGTTTGGAAGGAAATGTATGGCGATTTTCGATCAGTGCCCGCAGAACACATTGGCCGCAAGGACGATCGCGACAAACCCAACGCCAAGTGAGTTTGAGCTTCGGGTTTCCTCTTCGAGCGCATATACGGGTCATCTGTTTTCAGTGAATCAACGGATGCAATCACAGACAACAAATCTTGTGAAATAGAATGTTGCACATGCATACCAAGTCAAAGTCAGCATCGTTTTATTAACTCAAACACCACAATGTAATATTTTTTCACGAACTTTTAAGTACTAATTGATCAAGTCAAAATCTTCAATATCGTCTTTTCCAGGTTAGAGGACCCAGAAAATGACAGAGGAAGACTCGAGAGTTTGAAAGTTATTGATTCGCAGTGTTTGGGAAGTGGGAAGAAGGTGGGTCCTGCTTCTAAATGTTTAACCGTTTCACTCCGAAAGCACATAGTAGGCCATCATCGGGAGATGTTGATAACACATCCAAAGGTGAACTGCAGGCTGGATTGAAGGTGGTTGGAACAGAAATTGAGCCAGCATAGTAATTGCGATCGCAATTGTAACACGTTTACCTGCTCTCAATCAAGTATATTTTCTATAAACTCCTTGCTCCTTGTCTATTTGTGGTGCTGAACCTCTCTATAAGATAGCAGGTTAAATACAGATTTTTTGTGCCTTGATTTTATATTTTGTGTGGCTTTTTAAAAGCTGCGCATTAAGGAAAAAGTGGTTCTGGAGTAGGGAATTTAATTCTTACAATCTCGAGATAATTCTAGGCTTTTTTACGATTAGATGGACTATGAGAGTAGCCAGAGCAATTTTGCTTTTATGTGGAATTTTCAGGTCGAAACGCTTGCCAAGATCGGGGGAAAATGGAGGCTGACTTGAAGAGATTATTAGATTGATCTAAGATATTAGTGAGTGTCATTAGAGGAGAAAAGGCAGAGGGATTTAGAGAGGGAATTCTAGAACATGGAGCATAGGCAGTTGAAAGCACAGCTGCTGGTGATGAATTTGGGATGGGTGCATAATAGACAAGAATTTTGGATGGTGGGTTCGTGCTGCAGAAGGCTACGTGTTTATGGAGGCTTTAGACACAAAGCGAGGAATATAAAATGTGAGGCCTTATGGGATCAGGACCCAGTGTAGCTCAGCAAGAATAGCGTGGACAGTCACATTTTGGGTGGAGAGATGGTGATCAAGGTTACCAAAAGGGAGGATAGCCATCAGAAAGTGGTGGGCAAAATTGTCACATAAACATTTCATTGGCAACTGATTGGCGATATGGTGAAGACAGGAGGTGGCTTTTATGAAGGAGATGATATGGCATTGATACCTCAGCTGAAGGTCAAAGTGGGCACCACAGCTGAGAGTAGCATGACACCTTTTGAGTTGGTGACTGGAAAGAGAGCTGGAGTTTCTGGAGGAGTTTCAGGATAATGGCTTCGATCATATTGTTAAGTTGAAGAAATTGTCTTATCTAAAGTCAATTGTTGGACAAACCACCTGATTTTGTACATGTAGTGAAAAGATCAGGAATGATCACAGAGAGTTAAAGCAGGAGCTGTTATTCAAGAACGAAGCCAAGAATTGGTTCTTGAGGGACTGTTAAATAACTATGAAAGTAAGCCATCGAGAAAGGAGACGGGCAATTGAGAACTGGAAGATCAACGTTGTCAGAACGATGGTAAATTTAAGAGACATGGGAATACGTCATGTAACACAGTTGATCTCACTGAATGTCTCTGACTTGGTTAGTTAGTGTTGTTGTGGTACTGTAAGTGGAGGGATTTCAAGAGGTGGTTGCAAGATGCACTGGCCTGGATCATAGATGCTAAAATCTTTAGAGAGGAAAGATGGGATGGATATTTGCAACAGAAAGGTCAAACGTGGAGCTTTTGAAGATTGATAGTGATGATTTTGAAAGAGGGAGGCACCGAGCACATAATATTTGGGAGCTACTTATAACATGAATTAGTGCTGGGGACAGGAAAGGAAGTTGACTGTTCAACTGTGGGAATTAGGTTCGGGAGGCAGCAGGTGCATGACGTAGGTGGAAGGATCGCAAGGTTGGGGGCTCTTGTGGTCCAGTAGTAGTGTCCATGCTCTAAGCCAGAATACCTGGGTTCAAGTCCCAATTACTCCAGAGATGTGTAATGAAATCTCTGAAAAGATTGATTTAAAACAAAATTTACAGCATTTAGAGCTGTGAGGATATTTAGCTTGGTGGGCAAGGAGAAGCAGCAGTATCAATAGCTGAACATTGTTTCCTATCTTTGACAAAGAAATGCTTGAGTTATCTATAAATTTGTTTAAGAGCTTGGGGGGTGGGGTGTTTGTCCAAGTTGTAAGGATACAATTTATTGTGGAAAAAGGAATGCCAGTTAGCTCGCCAGAATAATCCTTGAATGTTGGGTGAAATTGATGATCGAAGTTCAATAAAAATTATTGTGGTGCAGTTAGACACAGTGATGGATTGCTAAACCATCATGTGCTAGAAATGTTTGCCCATGTCCTTTTGGGCTTTATGAAGTGAAGTTGGAGCTACACTAGCTGAATGATCAGAATAGGAAATCATAAAGGTTTCCCGAATGAGGATATCAAAGGTGGGCATTGTTATCATGTTGAATGGCAGCACCAAAGGCCAGGTGGTTTGAAATTTGAAAAAAACAAGTTGAAATGACTTAGACTAGGCAGAAGGAAGAGCATAACAGGATGTAGGTGGTTACCAAAGGGAATTGTGTATTTTTATGTTTAAGGATTTATAACTTGCATAATTGTGTCAATACTCATTACTGGTAAATGTGAAAGTTAGATATTGGACAAATGACAGATTTACATTTTCATAGGAATCAATTTTAAACATTCACAATTATTCTTGTAGAGTGCATCTTAATATTATGGATGTTTTACTTTTGTTTACTAACTCATCGAACCTTTTTAAAGCAAATTAAAACACAAAAATATATTAATGGCATATTTGACAGAATTCAGTTGTCAAGAATGTAAATAATCAGATTTGTCAATGCTATTTTAAATACATGAGACTGGGTATAAGCTATAGACGTAAGACTTTGAACACTTGGGATTGTATAGTTGAATATTCCTGTATTTGAAGAAATCTATTTGCTGAGCTTACATGCCACTGAACTGAAAGATATTCCATTTTGTATTTTCGTGATGGTGCTGGTGTGCTACAGATCATTCAGGAAGTTCAAGTTACAATTGTTATGTACTCTAATGCCTGCTATTGTGGTACAGAGCTCTGGGCTGCGATAGTAGAGGCCAAAGGCCAGGTGGTTGGAATTTCAGCAACTTCCTTTCTATCACATGACTATCAGGAATCTCTCCCACTCTTACCTGTTGTGTTGGAGGAATTTTCAGGTTGATAATCAGTTTGTTTAGCTGTGTTTTGAATGCATCTTCCTTGGCCAGCATTGCATCCGTGGATTGGGACTTGAGACTGGAATTTCTATCTCAGAAACAGAGACACTACCCACTGCATCACAATACCTTACATTTTGTTGAAAGGAACGGAGAAATTGCAATTATTATAAGGTAGAAAAATATTGCAAAATTTTAAAAATTTTCTTTTGATTAGGACATACAGGAAATGTTGTCAGTGGCAGTTGTACCTTTGT